TGAACTCAAAATGTGAATACTGTTTCATAAAAATGGATATATTGTGACATTGGATGTATTCAGTGCATTATTTGTTGAACTTTTCGATACGTTTGTGGATGTGATCGAGGATATTATTTCGATTCTGGAAAGTTGGTTACTATTTTGTGTTGATAGACTCCGTTCTATCAAGGAGGGGGAATATGGACATAAGGAAATCACAGATGTGAGTATGCCATGTTTCCGAACAGGTCGTTCCTGTGTGTAAGCAGTTCGCACACACACTGCTTTACTTCGCGGAAATAGATCTTAAAAGCATGAAAAAAGCATGCATGTGTGCCACGTGTCGACAACCATGTCATTGTAATTCAGTTTGGCATTAGGATTAGGATAGGCAACATTGTTCGACAGAGTAGTCATTTAGTGATCGGGATAATAATAGAAATTTGGAAAAAAAACTAAACTTTGTAAATGTAAATTGAAGTAGAACAGTAATTCTTGTCTGTATTAAAACCATCGTAAATAAATTAGTGTCTTTGCCTGTCTATTGCACTTCTTCTATTTCTGCTGACCAGTGTCTCTTTTCGTTTCCATCTATATCTATGTGAGAGGGGATCCAACACAGCTCCACCTGTTGCCCTTGGTCCGTTAGTTTTGTATATTCGTATAGAATATTGTTGATTGTGTTTGGCCTGGAGTTTGAATTTCTGCCACAGATGGCTTGAAGTGCACTTAGCGAGTCTGATAGGACGACTGCTTTTGCTTCTGGAAGTTCCGGTATGAGTTTGAGTGCACGATGAATTGACTCCAATTCAACTGTGAATACTGACTGACCATCAGGCAGGCGAACTGAATGTGCTTGGGGTTTGGAGCTGTGGATATGGATCCCGTAACCAGCACTGTTGTTGGATTCTTGGATCCATCAATGTACAGTAGAACATGGATATAACAAACTACAAGGGACCAGAGAAATCAGTTCGTTATATCCGTTGTTCATTATACACGTTTTCGCTCGGAAACGTCCGCCATCTTGGATAAAACAAAACACAATACACGTAATTGCAGTGTTACACGTGAAATCTTCATGGCCTAATTTCACTGCAAGTTGGTCAGCTTTGGTCTGCAGTAACGGACCACTAGGCAGAATGTTTTCGCTTCTCACGGCTTGAAACCATTTGAAGAGGGCGTTCTCTACGTCTTGGTGATTGGTAGCTTGTAACCTCTTCCGGGCGGGGCCAAAGTCGGTGGAGTCGCAGGATTCAAGAATGGATTCTCTCTTCTTCATAATGGTACTTAATGTTGATTTTGGAATGTCAAATTCCATTGCAATGTCTTTCTTGGTTTTTATGCCAGCATCAACAGCATTAATAATTTTTAATTTCGTGTCTAAACTGATAGCTTTCCTCTTACTATTGCCCGCCATGATAGCAAATGCAAGTGAACTGACACTTGGACACAATCTCGTAAAATTTATATGTTTGTTTTACAGACAAGATTACATGTACAGGTAAGATTAACACAATGCAAATTTAACAAGGTTGATCCGTCACCGCTGATTGTATTGATTTGCTGCCATTGTGTTGATTCGCGGCTGATTGCATACAGCCAATTGTCAGTGACACTTGACACTGAGTGAGATGTCTCAGTTAGCTTTACACGTCACTAAATAGTGATGAATCGGCTTGTCGGTGATCAGATATCAGTTCGCTGTATCCATTAGTTCGCTGTAGAGAGTTTGTTATATATGTAAATTTTATATGATATTATATAGGAGATAAATCGGGGATTTTTTAACAGTTTGTTGTATCCGTTTGTTCGCTATATCCGTGTTCATTATGTCTGTGTTCTACTTTATATATGGGCCCAGCTGTCCCAGGTAGTTTGAATTTTAGTGATAGCTACTGATCGTAGTAGGGTTGGGTTTTCTTTTTTAGTGACTTCAGATGTTAAAGCAGTGTCAACTTTGGGAGTTTTTAAAGTCCAGGGAGAGTGTTACCCTTTGTGGTGACTTTCTGGCATCTTCCCGAGGCAAGTGAGTTAACTGACTATAAAAGTCCAGTTTCAACCCTTGCCGAACTAGGCTGGTATTATGGAGTTTGATTTTGGCTGGACTAACGAGCCTATGCATAGTCCAGTCAAAATCGCGCATCGAAATCGAAAATCTGGTTCGTAAAGTGTCATGCAGATTTCTGTCGACTGCAGGATTTGCAAAACATGTGCACCGCTAATTCGTTGTCAACAGATATTTTCTATATCTTTTCATGTTTTTAATCAAGGTGTTCACGTAATTTGATGCACTTCGCGATGTAAGACTCGTTTGATCACAATATAGATCTTGATTATCGATCAGATCGTCTTGACTGGGCGCCACTGTTTTGTTTGAAGCAAATGCAAGTGATACGAGAGGTTGAATCTGATTGGTCAATAGGAGAGGCATAGAAAGGACATTACTCGTAATAGCCACTGGTGGCGCTACGATCGAGCCCAGGAATTCCAACCTAGTTCGGCAAGGGTGGAAACTGGACTTTTAAAGTCAGTTAACTCTCTTTCCTCGGGAAGATGCTTTCTGGAGGCTGAATGTTCGGATGAGTTCACGTACTAATATCCCAGATGGCTTTAGTGAGGATTTTTTTCGCACTTGGGCTGTCTCTGTGCTTTACCCATATTGCTCCGTCATCATTGAATTTAGAAGTTTGGGTACGGGAACTGACATGATCAGAAAGATCATTGATCATGATGTTAAACAGGGTTGGGCTTATAATGCTGGCTTGTGGCAAGCCATTGTCTAGTGCCATAGGATCAGATGGATTGTTCCCTATTTTAACTGATAGCGACCTGTCTTGCAGGAAGCTGTCTATGAAGTTTGCCATGTTTCCTTCTAGTTCTGGCTTTCTGCCCTGGGCGTGGTGCAGATGGAGCCTGTTTCTCCTTAGGCTTGGACTTAGCCGGAGCCTTGTCCAGAAGCCTCTTTCTTTGATTGAGTAGACACTTCTACTTGGACCGATATTTATACTTAATGACTGAGGTTGGGGATTTTACGTGCGCTTTCCGACTGCAAGCGTATGTCGCACACTTATACTTAATTACATGTATACATATACTCAACAACAAAAGTTCCTGTGACACCATTATTTAAGTGTATTTTTCAAACAAGTAAAGTTTGGTTTTCAATATTATAGTACATGTATGGAATCAAGTCACAAAAATGCAACTGCTACAGAAAAGAGTGCATTCCATGCATAACTTGACAAACCGTACGTCGTTGCCTCAGATGTGCAGGGATTGTCACCAGAAGACCCACCATACGTCCTATTTTGACAGGAAACCACTGTCAAGCACGTCTACAGTGGTGCAGACAGCGTCTACGCTGGACGGCCATGCAGTGGGGACAAGTGCTATTCACTGATAGTCTCGTTTTCACCTCAGCCACAGCAATGGACGGACGTCGAGGTGAACATTACGTCATTCATTGTGTCATGGAAGAAGATCGGTTTGTGGGCGGCAGCATTATGGTATGGAGTGGGATTATTGCAAGACAGAGGACCCATTTGATAGTGGTAGAGGGAAATCTCAATGGACAGTGCTACCGCGACGAGATCATCGTCCCTGTTGTTCTACCGTTTTTGCGTCGTCATGGCCCAGGCATTACCTTTCAACATGACAACGCCTGGCCTCATATTGCTCGACTTGTTCAGGATTCAACAAAACAACGTGAATGTCATCCCCTGGCCAGCTCGCTCCCCTGATCTCTCGCCAATCGAGCACATGTGGGATGAGATGGATCGGCGCCTTCGACGTCAACCACGTGTTCCACAGACACTCCAGGAACTTCAAAACATGCTCCAGCAGATATGGACAGATATCCCACAGAACTTTGTGCGACGCCTGGTCCATTCCATGAGACGAAGATGTGTTGCTTGCATCACAACCAGAGGTGGACACACACGCTATTGATTTGTTAATTGACATTTTGGCATGTTCATGTTTTTTATGAAATCACGCATTTTCTGAAGTCAGTATGGCAAATTAAACCATTTGAACACTTACAGGAGTCTTTTATCTGTTGCAAACCGAAATTGTTTCAGATTTAGTACAAAACATAACTTTGCATTAAATCTTATTCAATGTCACAGGAACTTTTGTTGTTCAGTATATTATATCATTGGTTTGGGTCAGATGACTAATCACAACAAGCTAAGGTTGTTGTGACCAACCATATTAGGGATTAAGCTTTTGAACTATTTGGAAATAGAAGATGTGTATCCTTTGACACTAACTAGGTGGTGGGTGACATCTATTGATTAGCCCCAGGTAATTAGGGTGCTGTCTAGACTCACTGAATACAGAGGTAATGAAGTGGTGTCGACAATGTTATTTTAGGATATTATTTTTATGGTTGGATTATAGGGTTTAAGGTTTGTTTACATTGATACTTAGACACCACAAATTTAGGCATAGCTTACATGGCATTTAGATTAAACATTGTTTCAATACAGATAACATCTATTGAATGTTTTGGTTCATGTGGCAATGTAATTTTGGTTTAATATTTAGAACATTGTAATGCTATTTTATTTCAATGCTTTATTTATTAATGTATATTAATAATGTATGAAACTACCAGTTTCTAACAGTTATTTTAGTTTTTTAACATTTAACAAAACTCATGTTTATGTTTAATGCCCATGATAGATACCACAGGATACAGTCTGCTGTTTGATATTCAGCATGCCCAGATGATGTCGTTCCTGCTTCAATGCTCATGCCAAATATTGAATTTTCCACTGAGATTGAATGTCATTTCTCAATAAATTTGGGGGTCCCTTAAATATTGTTCTTAGTATATCTTGCAGTAGTGTAAGCCCTTATTTATTTCCATATATTCCAAGCAAATATTCATCAAGTTCACAAGACAATTCTTTGAAACACATCAAACGACACCAGTAGACAGACCATAGACAAAATCATGTTCCTTACAAAATTGTGACATTTTTTGTAATGTATAATTATTTTTTTTCCAGCATTTCAAGAATATGACGTGGCAAAAATATGGACGAATAGACAAACTTCAGTTTGGAAGGGTATTAACATTGTAAGTAGAATGGCATCTCTGTCACATTCACCGATCAAACATATTCAAGAACAAATGTCATTGTCATTTATATTCATAAAATCATTCATTATATTGTCAACAGGAAGGAGTATTAGAATATTCACCCTTTAATCTCACTATCATCACTGATCATAGTTGGTAATGCCTGAAAGTCTATTGATTTGACAAATGCCACCTTAGGTCCTGAAAAAGGTAACATATATCACCACATATACAACAACCCTACATAGAATACCTTGTAGAAGTCTTCAGTATCAGTGCTCAGAGGGAGACCCTATCTATTTAATAACCCTGATTACAGCTAAACAGTTAAATTGAATTGTGAATTGACAATTTTGATAACACATAACTGCAGACCTTCTTAGGTGCCCCAGAAGTGCCAGTAACTCAAGGGTGCTATAGATTGGGAATAAGTTTGACCTATCCTTTGAAATGTACCTGTACTTAAGATTTGAGAAATGTGCATACTTCTTTATAACTGAACAAATTCATGCCTTAAAGGTATAAGACTGGGTTTCCATTGGAAAGTAACAGTACCATTTCCAAGAATTTATGATATAATTTTTGGAAGTACCCTAATTCTATTACTTCCTAGACATAAATCCTGTATTTTGGGTGTCATCACATAAAAAAATCTTCACATTTTCAACAGAAGTCCTTTTCACTTTGAAATATCAATAGTCAGTTGCGCAAGTAATAGTGGTCTTAGTACCTGTACCTTATGCACATGCATAGGGGTGAGAAGAAATATTGGGATCAGATAATGTACAACAAAGAGACTACATTGAAGCTTTTGTGTCTTTGTGACCACACTAGAGCAGGAACCATGGGTACATGAGAAGAAAGCCATAAAGTCTACTTTGAAGAGCCTATTCCACGACCATCAGGAGTACTATATGGTGGTTTGGGTAGTGGGGATGGTTACTCATTAGACATGCTTTAAGCTTTCCACAGGCATCACACATTTGCCGGGCTGACCCATGGGAGTCATGGACATTTCACACCCTAGATAGTCTGTCCACCACGCGCACTGCACGGACCAAGAAGCATCCTGTTACCGCCATTCTTAAAAGCTTGGACTCCATGATAACCACAGCCTCTCAGCTTGGCACTTCACCCAGACAACGAAGCCAGACAGACAAGGTCAGGGTACCAATAGATGCTGCCCACCAGACTGCATGTGCCAAGTATTCCAACCAGCTACTGTACAGATACAGTATACAGACGCTGACTGCATGGGTCCCAGTTGGTGCATGTTTCCCAGCCGATACAGGATGGCCAGTAAGAATACCGCGCAGGAGTTAGGACTAAATATCAAGACTTAGACTCTGTTCTCAGTGAAGATAATTTACTGTCCAATATATCACTCACAGCAGATTAAAATCCCGGCTATTCCTTTGCTGAATTATTGGAAGTGTATCATCTTTTGCTTGGTCTCGAGCCCAGGATGGAAGAAGACGTGAAGTCATCGTATCACAAGTGTGAAGATGAATTGATGAATGATGATACAAGCATGGATGAATTCAATGAGGTCACCGAGATTGAAATTCAGAATATCTTTCCTGCCAACACTACTGCAGGATCTCAAGTGGTGGACATGCCGGGAAAATGTATGGAGGGCATAACACTGGTATCTCCACCAACTGAACATCTTTTGTTAACAGACGCATCCAACTTGGGTGGAGAGCCCACAGTTTGGGGACTATGGTAACCTTACAAGATGAGATCTCCATATAAATTGTCAAGAGGTGAGAGCAATATATTATGCGCTTGAACATTGACACAATTATAGACCCTGGAAGGCACAGACAACACAACAGTGGTGGCATACATCCATAAACAAGGAGGAAGCAGGTCGATTGGACTAATGAACGTGACTACAAGATTATATATCAGACTTGATCAGATGCAGGTAGAAGCTCGTCCTATTCTGGGGAAGCTCAACATCTTGGCAGACACACCTCACCTGGATTTGTTTGCCATGTACCTCACAGCAAGCTCCTGGGCTACATCAGTCCAGCACCAGATCCCCAAGCTCTACAAGTAGACACACTTTTCATGGGCTGGATGGGAATGTTTGCTTATGCCTTTCCACCATGGTCTCTCCTATGGCCAGCCTTCTAAATAACTGGAGCATCCAGATCGTCTTTAACCTGGATCAGACGTGATGCATGTCAGTCTACAATGCCTTCATCTTTGTGCCTGGAAGTTACTCCATATCTGTCTCAGAAGAACTGGTGAGATCTCCATCAGCCATCTACAACAACAGATGGGACAAATTCTGTCATTGGAGAAAAAGACGAGGAACGAAAACAGGAACTATAATGAGACCTTTGTTGGTAGATTTTTTCAATTCATCTCCATCAGGATAAGAAGTTCAGTTACAGTACCATTGATGGTACTGTAACTGAACTTCTTAATCTGATGGAAGATGTTAAGACATTTCCAAAATGGAACCCATCAGTTGTTTCATCTGCTCTTTTGGAAGTGCAATCAGCCAGACTCCTTAATCTCAGCTTCTTATGTTTTACACATGTGGAAGACAGGAGTTCCATAATAGTCAGAATGCTACCAGAGTTTGTTGCCAAGAATCAATCCACAGCTCTTGGAAGTTTTGCTATGATGTAAAAGAGGTAGGGTATTCACAAGAATGTTCAAACGATAGTTATCATTGTTAATATACACAAAGAAAAAATTAAGCACACCCTAATATATTTTATTATTGTTTGGTCCCAATATTTGTAACAGTCATGAAAGATAAAATTATGGGAAGAATTATGTTTTCTCTAGAAGATGTAATCAGTCATGTGTGACGAAAGCTCACGTGCCAAGCATTGTATTCCCGTGCAGCATGCTACCTTCAAGTATTTCTAAAAGCAGTATAGCCAAACGTTAAAATTGCTTTCTTAAGCTTGGCTTTAAACAGTTATTCCTCGGTTACTCAGAGGCAGAAACAGAGTTTTTATGATGAGATTAATCTGGCTGACGACTCACCCCAGCAGGATTATACGGAGGGATATACTTTGTGGAACTCATCGAGGAGTTATATCACCTCATGCCTGTACTCCAACCTCCTGCGGCAGGAAATTCGCCACCTAAGATGCCGGAATATTGGAGATGTGATGCTCCTACATCATCTCAACACATCCACCAGACATTGCCTTGGCAGAGTTATACAAGGTAGTAACCCAGGCCCCGGGATCATGAAACTAACTTAAGACCATGTTTTGTCTTAGCTCTTAAGATTTACACTAAGACCAAATTTTGTCTTAAATCGGGGATCACGAAGCACAGAATCTATGAGAATATCTTAAGCCTAAGACAAAATTTGATCTTAGTCCTAAGACTGCCCCTGAGTGGACTTAAGACAAAATTTGTAGCAAGAAAGATGGCGGAGGTTGTTCGCCTCATGTGTCGCCTAAGGCCTAAAAAGGACAAAATAGCAATTCATCGGACATTTCGAGACCGATTCAACCCTCTTGATCTGTTCAACGACGAAGAGCTCTTTGAGAGATATAGATTTCGTCGTTCTACCATTTTTTTCATCGTTGGTCTAACCGGTGATGAACTGGCATAGATTCTACCCCACTCAGCGTTCCCACAGTCTCCCACCTATCATTCAAGTTTTGATATTCCTGTAGTTTGTTGCCACTGGGGCTTTTCACCTTCAGTTGCTCAGTCGTTTTGTGTCAGCCATATTGGATAGTGTTTACAAAATCACGTCATACATACACCGGTAATGAGACGCAAATTCCATCACATATATTTCAAAATAAGCTGCGATACCTACATCCTTGAATTCCTCATACATTTTAGAATCAAATGCCAAAATAAATGAGGTGTGAAAACAAACACTGAAAAAAGTGCACTTGTTGGAAATGTAAACAAAGCCATTCGTCTATTTGTTGAGTACATAGGCTAAGCATTTTCAGAATATACACCGGAAGAGAATCGTAGGGAGAATTAGGGAATTAAAAATATATACATTGCAATGATTTGATATTTTCAACAGAACTTGTCGAAATTCCTATCCAGTGTGACGCCATGACTGATGCAAAATCACGCACAGCGACAACGGTTTTTATCGGAATTTCTGACTATTTCTGTTGGTTTCAATGAAAAATATAACAACAAATAACAGTACACAGAATGTCAGAATGGGTCTAATTACTTACATGTCACATTTATGTATATACGAACCCTGAATCAACGAAAGTCCCCTTGTAAAATCCCGCGTACTGTTGACAGTCAACACGCCATTTTGTAGTCGGTCACCGGCAGTGATGTCATACGTCAACATATGTTGTACATATTAGGTAATATCTTTGAGGTGAAGGTCCTTTAATGAAAGTACACACGATCATTGTGTCCTGCTATTTACAGTTTCATATGATGTAGATCATGCATGTCTTGTGTACATTTTTTCACACATTTAATTTCACTTTGGATATTAATCAATGTTCAATATGATATCATAAGTAGATATAGGCCACAACATGTATTAACCTTTAATAATATCCTGTTTGTTTGAACAATGTTTACATATGAAATTGATAAGTTTATAGTGTCGCATACGATATTTCTATATTTTGGACAAGTGATACTAGATGAAATGTAAATGCAACTGCAACATGTATGTATTTCTAGGGAGTGTAAAAGTCAATATTATAAGTTCATATTAACAGTGTCCACGAATAGCTGTATAACTAAACTGAAGATATAACTTAAAGAAAATTGATATTATTTTTAGTTAAAATATATGCACACATTTCTAGAAGAATTGTCTTTGTCTTTGAATTTTTTTATGCCGTTTGATATACAGAACAGTGATATGTAACGATTCGCCAGGTGCGCGTTAGTCACAAACGACTTTTGAATTATTCCTCTAGTTTTGCATTATATAATCAATGGGTTCATCCTTTATCAAATATTGTGACCACAGGATATTAAAGTGTTTACTATATTTCTCCAAGAATTGT